AAAATTCAGAACAACACGACATTTGCATTTTACTTGGAATCATAATAATTGACATATATTTTAAATTATACAATCTTTTTTACGTAACTTTTGCCAGAATTTTTTGAATTTTTTAATACGTAGATATCTCTAAATATTTTTAATTTACTTAAAAAATTATCAAAACAACACTAATTGTTTGAAATATTTATATTTTTTTTGTGAATCGTAATAATTATTTTTATGTTGTACAATTACATTTACTTTGACTCTTAATAACTACTAGGTGTCTTGTCCGCGCTTTGTGCGGACCCCCGAGAAGTTTAAAATTATAAAACAAAATTTTATATTATGTTAATCAAGAGAATCAGAATAATTGGGACGTATATCAAAATAAAACAAACCCATAAAATGAAACACTCAGAATACAATACTAAATAAATGTATGAAACCCACAAACCAACTGAACTAAGACAAATACGAATTCTTCATTTCCACATAATGGTTATTCATTTTCTTCTTTTTCTCTTCTTTATCTTTTGGTTGTTCTTCTTTATCGTCTTTTTTTTTCATTGTCTTCCAACCATCTAATATATGTGTAGGTAGATCGTAAGTATCAATAATACCTACGTCGAGATGGCACGATAATTACATACAAAATATATAAGAGAAGAGAGGAAGCACCTCATCCTTTTCTTCATCATCATCTATGTCTCCCCGACTTTTTATTTTGTTTTTTCTTTGTTTTTTCTTTGCTTCTCAGTCTTCATTGTATTCGTCTTTTCAGAATGATTATTATTTTGATTCATATTTTCTCTTGTCTCCATATTCTGATTTGTTTACTTGCACGGACAATGGTTTCATCTCTTTCTCTGTCTCTCTTTCCCTTCCTCTCCCCCTCTTTTTGTATCTCCTTCACTCCCCCTCTCTTTCTATCTCCCTCTCTCTCCATCTCTCTCTCTATCTCCATCTCTCCCTCTCTATATTCATAACTTAGATCTCCTTAGATTTTTTCTTATTTTTCTTCTTCTTCTTCTCTAAATTACTGATAAATTCTACAATATAGCTTTAGCCTTATCTCCTCAACTTCTCCTTCTCTCTTTTGTTTCTTCGTTATCTTCAAGCCTTCGTCATCTCTGTTTTCCACTTTTTCATATCAATCACATATTTCTTTGCCACCCAACTATCTTTCCTCGGTTGATCCATTGTTTTTTTAGCTTCCGTGTTTTCCTCACGTATTTTAGTTAGAGGTTCAGACCCGTTTTAGTATTGTCGAATTCAATGTATGAGTGTTCAATCTCTGTTTGCTCATGTTCATGTAAACCAGTGAACTTCAGAAACACATAACAATCTGATTTGAGTTATTTTGAACATAGAAACCTATTCGAGAGTTCATCTTATTCTTCAACTCTTTTTCGAAGATACAATATAAGCTTTGTCTTGTAAGATTTGGGTTTTAGAGAAGCAATCAAAGGATGCACTGTTTTAGGATAAATTTAATTTAAAAACTAAATTTTAAAAGCAACATAATTATACGACACAAGAATTACTTGTTATACATCAAAACATATGAGAAATGCATCGTGTGAGTATGTTCTTTCTTCAATTCACAAGAATTTCAGTAATCTATGTTCTTAGATTCTAGTGTCAGAGAATCATCAATTGATTCGCTATGCCGATGAAGCCTGAAACACTAAAAATGTAGTTCCTGCAAGCTGAAACAAATTACAAGGATGATGAAAATTACGACATGAATATTTCTTTAGCAAACATTATTCTTCCTCTGTATTAGTGACTATCCTTCCTTCAGCTGGTTTTATCTCTCATCAGGGCTTAAAAAAATTGATGAGTTCATTAACAAACAATGAAACTAAGAAATGGGCCAGGGATTAACCATAATATAAATCAACACCAGTTGGATGGTGTGATTTGCAATTGGTTTACACTGTTCTCAATACAATTGTTGTATATCAACACAAGAACTTGACATGCGTAAAAATTCTAGTCACACCGAATCTAGTCTCATTGTCACCTGCTTTTCCGTTGCTCGTTGAAGTTATGAGACATCACATTCCCATTCATCGACTTACCAACAAAGATATTGTTTTAATGCCTGATAGGTTTAGTCTTGAGAATAATTTAATATTTTTTTGATAAAAGAATGTGTTGGGTAAAAATTAAAACTATAAAACATTTTTTCCAGAAACAACATAATTGTCTTTGGGCAGAAAACAATGGGAAAATTATAAAACCATAAATATTGTTTTGTTCATATTACATATCTTTAATAAACTATGAAACCAAAACTAATCTGAACTGATTATTCTTTTTTTGCTTAAAGATCCATGTCCACACAAGCTACCACGAACATAAACCATAAAATTATATTTAGAAATAAAAATAAACATAAACAACAATATAAAGTAGAATCCAAGGAGAAACAAACAACAATTAAACAATCATACAATAAATAACATCCAGTCACAAATATGTTACTGGAAAAATTAATACAAACCTAAACTAAAACATGAATTATACACACAAAAAAATCTTTTTTCTATGGTTTTGATCCTTCTAAGAAGATAAAAATAATAAATTAGAGAGTTTACGAATATCAAATAAGCAAATTAGAAGTTCTAATAAGTTGTTGACAATAAAGTACTAATGATTTATTTACATTTACCTGTTAGATTCATTTGAAGATATGATTGCAAAAGTTCGAACCAATCACCTATAGTTTGTGGGATGAACTCTAGGTTCAAGAAAAACAATAAAAAAGCTCAAGTCAATCTATATATACGAACAATAACTCAAATATATACATAGAAAAAATTTAATAAAGAGGAACACGAATATCTAATACAAACGCAACGGATTTTATATATAGAACTACAAAGCAAAATAAAGAACACAAATATGATATTTCGATGACCAATCGCAGAGAGAGTAAAGTAGGGGTTAAAAAATAAGATAGATGTGATGCATAGTAATATAGAACACGATAGAGAAAAATCATAGATATTTGACCGGTTAGCATAGAAGAATCCCGATCAGAACAAAATGATTAAAAGGTTAGCATGAAAGAACAACCAATTAAACAAACAATATAATTTAACCAGATCGGGAAATACAAAAGATGTAGTCGGAAAGAAGAGGTGAACGAGTTTTGTAAAAGTTGCTAGACCTTAGAATACGAATGTTGTATATAAAAATATATGTAAGTGATACAGGTATATATAGTAGGATAAATGCTTTACGGTTTAAAGCATCCACAATAGCCCATTTTTTTTATCGATGCTTAGCCCAAAAAATAAATCCAAATCAAAAATAAACTGAAGCATCGATTCTAAAATAAGGCCCAGAAGCATCGATGCTTAGAGGCTACGTGGCAATTGTTTATTGGACAGAGAGAAAAGAAGAAGAATCGAAGAAGAAATGCTATCTCATTTCTCGACTTTTCGTTTTCTCCGAAAAAAAACGACTAAATTCTCTCCTCCGTCTCACACCGTCATCGATTTCTTCTCCGATTTCAGCTATTTTTTCCAGCCAGCCGAACTCGTATTATCTTCTCCGTGGCGACTCGGTGAATTTCTCCAACCAGGTAATATTTATTCTCAATGATTTATCTAGAAGTTTTTTTTTGGTTTTGATTGAGTCGATTCTTCTATACGAAATTACTCTGCATGTGTTGTGAATCCGTATTGTTAGGGTTTTTTGTTTCGATTTGCGTTGGATTTTGTCATTTCTGGTTTTGAATCAAAGGCTTGAGTTGTGTTCAGTCTGATTGAGTTCTAGTCACACCGGTTGAGTTCTGAGTGTTTCTGGATTGGATTTGTATATCCCTGTATCGGATTTCTATATCTGTTTTGCTTGCTCTGGGTTCTGTTATGTCTAGTTCGTTGAGTTCTGATTGAGTTCTGTATTGGATTTGTATATATCTGGTTCAGAATTCTATATCTGTTTTGTTTGCTCTAGGTTCTGTTATGTCTAGTCGGTTGAGTTCTGATTGAGTTCTCTATTGGATTTGCATATCTCTGGTTCAGATTTGTTTATCTCTTTTGTTTGCTCTGAGTTGATTTCTATTCACACCGGTTGGTATGTTTGAAGAATATGGGTTCATTGTTTGGTTTGAGTCATCGTAGAAGATTGTTTAGTTGTTCATTAGTTTGCTTGATAAAGATTCTTTGCTAATGAAGTGTGTTTATTAATGAGGTGTGTTTGATACTGAATCATGTTTACTGAAGAGTCTTTATGTGGTCAATATCTTATGTTTTATCATCACTTGAAAGGTCATAAATGCATATGTCTGTAGAGTTTAGCTGTGTTAGGTAGGATAATAATGGTTTAATGTATTTCAAATTGTTTATTGATGGTTTAGAATAGAAAAGCTTCTTTAGATAATTATCTATGGTAGATAACTGTCTAGTCGACAGTCTTTAATAGTAGTTAAATGAGCTGAATTGGTAATGAATTGTGTTTAGTTGGTGAATCTCTTATTATTTATGACCAAGTGTGTTTTGTCTTTGCAACATGTGAGCTTCGTGTGGTCTGTCAAGGATTCTCAAGGCACGACTATGAGTAGCATCAGTGCCCAGAACCTTTGAGTTTTCGCATTGCAACCTCAAAGGTATGTCATCACTTCCCTTTCATATTCATAAAGGCATATGTCTATAGGGTTAGAGGAATAAAAAAACAGTTCATTGATGGTGATGAATAGAGGTTATAGTTTTAGTTAAAGCTGTAGTTAAAGCTTCTAGTCGATAGTTATCTAACAACTTGTTAGATAATTGTCTAGTCGAATGTTTTTAATAGCAGTTAAGGCTTTAGTTAAACTATGGCGCAGAAACTCTTCTTTAAACTGCTTCTTCTCTTCCTTTCTTCTGCTTTAAACTGCAATGCATCTGCTTCTTCATCAGTGCTCTTTTATTTACTTCTTCTCTTCCTTTCTTCTTCTTTAAACTCCAACACATCATCCTCTCCTCCTCTGTTTTCTTCTTCGTCTGATCTTCTTTTCATTCACTATGGATTATTCTTCTTCACATCCATTCACTCAATCATCTAACTTTGTTGATCTTTTAAATAGTCAACAAGAAGTTCCTCTTCATGATCCCTTTTCTTCTCAAAGTCAAATCCCTCTGTTCAGCAGTCAATGCACCGAAGGCTCTAGCTATAACGAAGAGAGCCCTGCACAGCGCAAAGAAAGGAATATGTGGACTCCAACCGATGATGTGCTTCTCATTTCCGCCTGGCTAAACACGTCAAAGGACCTGGTGGTGGCCAATGAGCAGAAGTGTGGTGCCTTCTGGAAAAGGATAGCAGCATACTTTGCTGCTACTCCGAAAGCTGCAGGGAGAGAAAGAAGAGAAGCAACCACATGTAAGGCAAGATGGCAAAAAATAAATGACTTGGTGTGCAAGTTCTGTGGTGCTTATGAGGCTGCAAGAAGGGAGAGAGCTTCTGGAATGAATGAGAATGATGTGCTGAAACTCGCACATGAAATATTCTTCAATGACCACAAAAAAATTTACCTTGGACCATGCGTGGAAGGAGCTCCGGAACAACCAAAAGTGGTGTGAGGTATCTGCACAAAGAGCTGAAGGCGTTGCTAAAAGGAGAAGATGCAACGAGGGTCCAAATTCACCAACTTCTGTCGGACAAGAAAAGAACAATGGTGATGATAACCAAGGAAGCAACAGGCCACCAGGTGTGAAAGCTGCAAAAGGTAAAGGAAAGAAGAAAGTGGAGGATGACAAGGCTTTATCAGAGTTCAGCAATATGTGGTTGCTTATGGAGAAAGACATGGCAATGAAAGAGAGGATTCAGAAGATGGGACTTCTTGACAGCCTCATCGCCAAGAAAGAGCTCTTATCCGAGTATGAAGAAGCGCTTAAAAAAAAAACTCATTCAAGAGATGTTGTCTTGAAAAGAACTTTTTTTAGTTTAGTTTGTCTAAGTGTTATGTTTAAGTTTAAGTGTTAAGTTTAAGTTTGTCTAAGTTGTTTATGTTCAAGTGTTATGTTTTATTTGTCTAAGTAGGATGTGTAATCCTTGTTAGTTATCGCTTATTTCCCTTGTTAAGTAGTTTGTGTTATACCTATGTATGTTTGATCTTTGAAATCAAAAGCTATGTATGTTTGATATATGCGCTGTTAAGATTTTTTTAAATATATGCTGTTTTTTTTTATGCCTTATCTTTGGTTGATATTCGATGTGATGGTGTTTGTTGCTTTATGTTTCAAGTATGTGTGGTGTATTACCAAGGTGGTGGTGGATGTTGACAGTAAAGAGTGGTTGTGGTGTTTGTTTCTTCAAGCTATTTTGTTTCTTTCCTAAGTGTAAATTTGAGTCCACAAACTTGTTGTGGTATATGTCGACACCAAAGATTTTGTTTGTTTCCTATGTTCATTTTGAGACTGTGTATTCATAATGGATCTTTTTAGACCACAAACTTTGTATGATACTTGCTCTATTTATATATGTAATTCATATGCTCTTTTCTTATCACACTCATTCTCCTTGTTTCTTTCTTTCAGTTCTATATCAGTTCTATTCAGTTGATTAAACCTGCTCAATCTCCTTCTTTTTTGTTTCTCATTGTTATCATTTTCCAATACAAAAAGCAAAAAAACATAAATATGGCTTCTTCTTCAAGTAATCCTTTTGATGATTCAATTCATGTGGATTTTGATCAAAAATTTGATCAATATTTTGATCAGACTTTTGGGAACCTGTGTATTGATTACCAAGAAAATCAAGAGGTAAGGAAATCTAAAAAAAAACAGGCTTATATTGAAAGAGATCGGGAAGAAAGCCATACCCGTTTATGGAACGATTACTTTAGTGAATCTGCAACATACCCAGCAAATTTATTCCGATGACAGTTTAGAATGAATAAGCCATTGTTCATGAAGATTGTTCTTCCGACAAAAGAAAGATGCTATTGGAAGGTCTGGTCTCTCGGGACTTCAAAAATGTACAGCAGCAGTTCGTCTCTTGGGTTATGGCACTGCAGCTGATGCAGTAGACGAATACCTCCGGCTTGGTGAATCTACGGCTCGATCATGTTTGGAACATTTTGTTGAAGATATAATACATTTGTTTGGTGATGAATACCTAAGAAGACCCACACCAGAAGATCTTCAAAGACTACTTTATGTTGGAGAGTACCGCAGATTTCCCGGAATGATAGGAAGCATTGATTTTATGCACTAGGAGTGGAAGGATTGTCCCACAGCTTGGAAAAGGCAATATACACGGGGTTCTGGGAATCGACAATCGTTTTGTAGGCGGTAGCTTCATATGATCTTTGGATATGACACACATTTTTTGGACCTCCAGGTACCTTAAATGATATCAATGTTCTTGATCGTTCACCCGTGTTTGATGATATCATAAAAGGTCAAGCTCCGCAAGTGAAATTTTCTGTCAACGGAAGGGATTATCATTTGGCTTACTATCTCACAGACGATATTTATCCTAAATAGGCTACGTTTATCAAATCTATTCCACTCCCACAGGGCTCAAAAGCTTATTTATTTGCTGAACGTCAAGAAAGTGCCCGAAAAGATGTCGAGCGTGCTTTTGGAGTCTTGCAAGCTCGGTTTGCGATTGTTAAAAATCCAGCTCTTTTTTGGGATAAAGAAAAAATAGGGAAGATTATGAGAGCATGTATCATTCTCCACAACATGATAGTAGAAGATGAACGAGATTTATTAACTCAATTTGATATTTCAGATTTCCAACATGGAGAAGGCAACAGAAGTTCACATGTGGATCAGATGTATGCCTTCAAATATTGCTGATATGATGGGTGTTCGAACTAGAATTCGAGATAGACAAGCACATGAACAATTGCAAGCTGATTTGCTTGAGCACATATGACAGAAATTTGGAGATGACGAAGATAACAACTGATCGTTTATATGTTCACAATGTTTTGAAATCTATGTTTTAATTTTTTTTTCATCTATATTTCAAATGTTGTTATATAATCTATGTTCTATCCAAAAAATAAATTTATCTTACAAATAATTTAAATTACAATTTTTTTTAAGAACCCCTTGCATTGGAAGCAACAAAATCCTACTTTTCAGTTAAGGTTCTTAACTTAATTAAACCATTATTATATTCTTAAGCACCCTTAATGGTGTACTAGCATTGCTGATGCTCTTAGGGTTTCGACGTTGATGCCCTAAAACCAGAATCGGTGGCTATGACCAAGAACAAAATCGCTTGTCTATGAACAAACTCATTGGCCCATTATCGAAGGAAAAAGCCATGTACACGTAGGATTAATGATCGACCTATCAAAATAAATTAAAACGACACATAATATGTTTTTTTATTAATGTCACATAAGACAATTGCTGTGGAGACGACACCTAAGATTTTTGACCTCATAAATAATAATATAGATTTTTACATTGAATAGTTTGCAACAGTCGTATACTTTTCTTTTGATTATTGTTATTATTTTATATAAAATTTTCTTTAAATTTGTTTTTAGGGTTTAGATTTTTTTTATTATTATTATTGTTATTATTGTTAGATTATTGTTATTAGTGTTATTAGTATTTAGCCATGTACACGTAGAATTAATGATCGACCTATCAAAATAACTTAAAACCACACATAATATTTTTTTTATTAATGTCACATAAGACAATCGTTGTGGAGACGACACCTAAGATTTTTGACCTCATAAATAATAATATCGATTTTTACATTGAATAGTTTGCAACAGTCGTCTATACTTTTCTTTTGATTATTGTTAGATTTTTTTTTTAACTTTTTGAAATCTATCTTTATAAATATTATTTTAAACATTATTTTACGTGTATATAAATAATATATAATTTAAAATGAAAGTATAGAAAAACTGTGTGCTTTTGATCTTTTCATTTTTACTTTATATCTATAATTTATAATTTATGATTATTGTATGATAAAAAAGTTAAAAAATGAAATATTGTTATTTATCTTTAAGTTTCAAATGTAAACACTATATTTGAAACATTGAACTTTTAGTCACTATCTCTGAAACAAATGAAAAAGTTTATGTACCTTATGAAATATCAGTATAGATTAAACAATTTTGTATCACATAATAACTAATAGTCTAATAAGATGTATGCAGTGTAGAATATATATGTATTATTTTCACAACATGATAGTAGAAGACGAACGAGATTTATTAACTCAATTTGATATTTCAGATTTCCAACATGGAGAAGGCAACAGAAGTTCACATGTGGATCAGATGTATGCCTTCAAATATTGCTGATATGATGGGTGTTCGAACTAGAATTCAAGATAGACAAGCACATGAACAATTGCAAGCTGATTTGCTTGAGCATATGACAGAAATTTGGAGATGACGAAGATAACAACTAATCGTTTATATGTTCACAATGTTTTGAAATCTATGTTTTAATTTTTTTTTCATCTATATTTCAAATGTTGTTATATAATCTATGTTCTATCCAAAAAATAAATTTATCTTACAAATAATTTAAATTACAATTTTTTTTAAGAACCCCTTGCATTGGAAGCAACAAAATCCTACTTTTCAGTTAAGGTTCTTAACTTAATTAAACCATTATTATATTCTTAAGCACCCTTAATGGTGTACTAGCATTGCTGATGCTCTTAGGGTTTCGACGTTGATGCCCCATAACCAGAATCGGTGGCTATGACCAAGAACAAAATCGTTTGTCTATGAACAAACTCATTGGCCCATTATCGAAGGAAAAAGCCATGTACAGGTAGGATTAATGATCGACCTATCAAAATAAATTAAAATAACCACTACAAGAAAGATCGGGTTTTACGTCGGCATATATCGACGTAAAAGGGCTTTTACGTCGAATTAGCGACGAATGAAAAATCGTCGTAAAACAATCATCGTAAAATAGAATTCGTCGTAAAATCGTCGTAAAATTACCAACCCAGGGAAATCGTCGTAATATCGTCGGAAACTATTCATCGTAAAGTCGACGTAAATTTTCCAACGAAAGTACAACGAAATACGTCCATCATAAGAACGACGTAAAATCGATTTAAAATTACATCGATTTAACAACGATTAGGAGACGACCTATTTCAATTAAGGGAAATTAATTTTTTAATTATCGATATTAATTCGTCGTAAATTTTCGACGTAGATTCGACGTAAACATATACGACGTAAATTCGTCGTTAAATGTTCGACGTTAGATCGACGTAAATTACGACGGTCGTAAATTTACGTCGATTTATAAATTAATTATTTAAATTCGATTTTAATTTAATTAATGAATTTTTAAAATAATCAAATAATTGAAAATAGAAAAAAAACATTTTCAATTAAAATTTAAATTCGAAAATAATTTATAAAAAAAAATTAAATACAAATTGTTTTTTACAAAAAAAAACCTAATCTGCAATGTGATTTCATAATCGTCGAGGTTGAGATCGAATCCGTCTTGGCCGTCTGCGCTGCTGGACCGTCGTTTCCCGTCTGCACTACCGGAGCCGAAGTCTGACCCTGCGTCTGACCCTGCGTCTGCTGGTCCGATGGTCCACCGGAAGTACCACCGGCCTCAAAGATCCCTTGTGCTCGCTGTTGCCTCTCTCGGATTGCGGTGGCCAACTGCGGAACCGCTTCCGCAATGATGTCGAAGAGGCCGTGCATCTCGGTGAGCTCCTGCTTCTGGGCCACTTGCTCATGCCTGAGAGTGGTGATCTCAGCATTGGCCGTAGCAAGCTCCTGGCGAAGATGACTCGGATCCTCCTGCGTGCGAAATCCGGAAGTCGAGGCGGCAGGACAGTCTCTAATAGAGCCCATCCCTAAGTTTCGGCCCTTCTTCTTCGGAGCAACCTACAAATGAAAATAAAAACGTTAATTAATTATTAAGTAATAAATATAATAAATTTTAAAAAATTTGAAATAGATCATACCTCCTCGAAAATCTGGTCTTGCTCAGCGACGGTCAACGGTACTTGGATAGTACCGTC